GTGATTCAGAATACAGATGACCTGTTGTTTGTGTACAAGCAAGCTCTTAACCACCTGAGCCACTGTTTCATTTTCAGCTTTTTTTGGGGGGGAAGGGTAGGTTAATTGGAGTTAAGAATCTCATGGACTTTCTTTCCCAGGGGTTGGCTTTGAACTTCAGTCTTCAGATCTCAGCCTTGCGAGTAGCTAAGGATTACAGAAATGAGCCACTAGTTCCTGGCTTGTTCTAGAGAATTTTGAATAAAAAGAATATAACTCCTAAAATCTCAACGCCCTAGGATAACAAACCATTGCTTTTGTGACCAGCCTTGTTCATGTCTCGCAATTCATTCACACACTTACATGAATGATGGTATATCTTATTAAAAACTGAAACAGATGGGTGCTGGTAGTTCACTCCTGTCATCCTAGCTACCCAGGAGGCTGATATCTGAGGATCCCAGTTCAAAGCCAGCCCAGGTAGGAAAATCTCTGAGACTCTTATCTCCAACTAGCCACCAGAAAACGAGAAGTGGGGCTGTGGCTAAAAATGGTAGAGCACTCAGCCTTGAGCAAAAGAGCTCAGGGATAGCACCCTGGCCCCAAGTTCAAGCTCCATGACAGTCAAAAAAATTAAAAAACCAGGGCTGGGAAGGTGGCTCAGTGGTAGAGCGCTTGCCTTGCATGCATGAGGCCCTGGGTTCGATTCCTCAGCACCTCATAAGCAGAAAAAAAAAGCCAGAAGTGTCGCTGTGGCTCAAGTGGTAGAGTGCTAGCCTTGAGCTGAAGAGCTGAGGGACAGCCCCCAGGCCGAGAGTTCAGGCCCTATGACCAGACCCCACCCCCTCACCCCCAAATTAAATAACCAAAACACATTTTTGAATGTAGTCATTTTCCCCCCTGAGCTTTCTCTGTCTCCTTTGACTCCTCATCTCGCTCAGATACTAATCTTTTTCATCTATTACGGACTTCCAGATTGAAAAGATGTATTAACCTCTGTCAAACCCTCACTCCGCTGACAGCAAATGGACGATGATGACATTATCCCCTGAAGGACAAAGAGATCAACAGAATCCTGGACAGCACAAACAGAAACACACACAGGCCATTAGGAAAGCAGTCGCTTTGGCAGAACTAAAACCCTCGTGACTTCCTTCAGGGGGAAGCTTGTAACACAAAAGCAGATATGCACCTTTGGACCCTAGAAAGTTCAGGATTCAGGGGCATTTGAAATTTGGCAGGAAAATATGGGACCAAGGTAATTGCAAATCATCCTGACAAACAAGGAAAAGAGGGGTTTTTTTTTGTTTTGTTTTTTTTTTTTGTCGGTCATAGGGCTTGAACTCAGGGCCTGGGTGCTGTCCCTGAACTCTTTTGCTCAAGGCTAGCTCTCCACCACCTTGAACCACAGCACCACTTCTGGTTTTCTAGTGGAGACTTTCCTGCCCGGGCTGGTTTCGAACCTTTACCCTCAGATCTCAGCCTCCTGAGTAGTTAGGATTATAGATGTGAGCCACTGGTGACTAGCTTTAATGCTGCATTTCTAGTTCCATAGGAATTCTTCATATGGAAATTCTTCCAAGGTTGGTATTGAGGCAACTTTTTAAAATATACAATACCCATGGTGTGTATTGTTCCATGTGTATGTATACCATGATTATTCAACAATTTCCTTCTTTGAAGGACATTGGCTTTATTTCTAGTATTTTATTTTGTTGTCCTTACAGGCAGCTCTATTTTATACCCTTGAATAGATATTTTTATATGTTAATCTTAATTTCTCTGGAGGAAGGTCACTAGTCAAGTACGTGTAACCTTATTTTAATAAGCATTTCTAGATTTAATTTCTACAAGTGTTCCAGCAATGAATGAGAGCATACATTTTTATCAAGGTTTTCTTTTATGCCCTTCAGAAAAACCATATTATTATTATTTTCTCCAGGCAGATTTTTCATTCTTCTTGACAAATTGCTGGTTTTCTTGTCTTTTTTTTTTTTAAATGGCCAGACATGGTTTTATAAAATTCCCTTTCAGCCAGGTGCTGGTGACTCATGCCTATAATTCTAGCTACTCAGGAGGCTGAGCTCTGAGGTTCATGGTTTGAAGCCAGCCCTAGAAGGAAAGTCAGTGAGATTCTCATCTCCAAGGAACCATCAGAAAACCAGAAGTGGCACTGTGGCTCAAAGTGGTAGAGTGCTTGCCTTGAGCAAAAGGGGACCAGGGACAGCGGCCAGGCCCAAAGTTCGAGCTCCATGACTAGCAAAAATAAATAAATATATTTACTCCTTTTTCTTGTCTTGCATTGGTAAGAACCTCCATAAAAAATAAAACACTGAATAAATATAGGAACAGCAGGTGTCTTGGGTCAATTCTTATCATTTATTAGAATGGTTCTGATATTTCACCAGTTAGCATGATAATCATATTTTGAATACAAATCTGTTATCAAGTTCCATGAATTTCCTTGTATTCTTAGGTTGCTAAGAGTTTCTGTTTTAATAAGGCCCGGTTGCTATGTGTTGCCAAAGGTGGGGGTTTTGTTGCAGTCTTTTGTCTTCTGCTATCTTTTATTTATTTGTTTACTCACTTCTTTATTGGCCCTGTGGGGAGAGGGACCATATGGTTTTCTCAATGATCATAGGGTTTACTTTGTTAATCTGTTAATATGCTTAACTGTGTGAATGGATTTTCTAGCATTGAGTCACCGTTGCTTTCCTGAGAATAAGGTGGAGTCATGCCCATCATGTGACGGGGTGGGGGGGTGATTTGGGAGCCCTGCTCATTCAATTCCTTACCCTGTTTGTTCTTCGAGTGTTCCATCTCCTCGGGTGTGGTTTGGGCGTTAGAACCATGCTAGTTCCATAAGACATGTTGGGAATGTCTCCATGTGTTTACTATGATGTGAAATTAAATAAGAAAACCAAGCCGCAAGAAGTTCGACAGACCCAGAAGCTCCCTGGAGGAAGGCGCCGTTAACATGGCGACAGGATGCCCATGTAACTGACCAGTATCTAGATCCCGCTGAAGATGGGAAGCCATGCCATGCCCAAGGAGCAGGGCGGGTGGATTGTATACAGGTACAGCCCCTTGGAGCCAGGGGAGGAGTTGTGTAGGTCCAAGACTAGACTCATAGTTTCTAATAATTATTATTTTTCCAACTCACCAACTGGAGAAGCCAGTCCAGGCTTCCAACGAACCAGCAAAATGTGGGGCTGGAGGTGTGGCTCAAGCGGCAGAGCACCAGCCATGAGCAAGGAAAGAAAGCCTCCTGAGACTGTATGACCCTGGGTTTAAGCAACGGTACCTGAACCAAGAGAAAGAGAGAGATGGAAGGGTGGAGGGAGGGGAGGAGAGTTGCCATCGATGGGGGATCTGGGGGGAATGTCCTGGGGAGATGGGACTCCCTAAGCTTCTAAGCTATGGTCCAAAAGGCAGAAGTCATGTCTCTACCTTCCGAACCTCCATAGCCAGAGAGATGACTCAAAAAGACAGTTGTAAAGATGGAGGATACAGGCTTGTGGGGTGGCGTGGGCCTGACAGTTTATATTTTATTTTCCGCTTGTCTGTCCGTTGAGATTTTATCTATGTCTATGAGAGCGCATGGCGGGCGCTTTCCCAGCCTCTGCCCGTTTAGGCAATACTTAAGCCCAAAGGAACATCAAGGAGGGTGCGCAGAGGGCTGGGCCTCAGGCAGCAGGGGAGGGGAGGTGTGTGCATGCTGCTGACCTGCCCCCCCCCATAGCTAGGTAGAGATCTATGACTTCAGAGGGTGAGGGCAGGCTCTTCTGGAATAAGAGATAACAGAGCAACAGACCAGGTGCATGGCTCACAGCTGTAATCCCAGCTACACTGGTAATGTAAGTAGAATAGAGTTCCCAAGCCAGCTGGGGAAAAGAAGCACAAGGTTCTCTCTGAAAACAATGATGAATACAAAAAAGGTCCTGCAGTGCAGTCCAAGCAATGGAGTGCCTGCCTACCAAGTACAAGATCTGGAGTTAACTCTATTACTGCTGAGAGAGAGAGAGAGAGAGAGACAGACAGATAGAGACAGAGAGGGAGGGAGGGAAGGAAAGAGGGAGGGAAGAGGAAGAGAAAGAGAAAGAGGAAGAGAAAGAAGGGAAGGAGGAATGGTAGGAGGGAGGGAGGAAGGGGGAAAGAAGGAAGAAAGGAGGAAGGGGAGGGGAGAGGAAGAGAGAAAGGAAGGAAGGGAGGGAGGAAGGAAGAAAGGAGGAAGGGGAGGGAGGAAGGAAGGAAGAAAGGAGGAAGGGGAGGGAGGAAGGGAGGGAGGAAGGAAGGAAGGAAGGAGGGAGAGATGGAAGGAAGGAAGGAGTGAGGAAGGAAAGGAAGGAGGGGGAGGGAAGGAAGGAAGGAAGGAAAGAAAGAAGGAAGGAAGGAAAGAAGGAAGGAAGGAAGGAGGGAAGGAAAGAAAAGAAAGGAAAAGAAAGGAAGGAAGGAGGGGGGAAGGAAGGAAGGAGTGAGGAAGGAAAGGAAGGAGGGGGGAAGGAAGGAAGGAAGGAAGGAAGGAAGGAAGGAGGGAGGGAAATTGAAGTCCAGGCCCCAGTGGGAAGAGCCCTCCGCCATGCCACACACAGTCACACAGCTTCTTTCTGGTTGGAAGGGTGAGAAAGCATCCTTTGTCGCAGGCTGGTCCTTGCCTTCTGGGAGGGGCGGGGCTCGGCCCCCCCAGTGGGTGACTCTCTCTTCAGCAATGGATGGGGCCTTTCTAGACACCCAAATCCTCCCCATTTGGCCACCTTTTACTGCCACCACTTTTCCAAAGTAGATTTCCATTCAATCGCCATTTGCTAAATCTGCCCCTGAAACACTGGAGGGGGAGGGAGAGATTAAACCCAGATTACAGATGTTTTAGAAGCGAGCGCACCCCGGAGCAGCAGGACACGGGAGACCCACAAGAACCTCACGAGGGACACAGGAACCAGTCTGCGTTCCTCCTGGGCGGCCCCAGTCACAGCCCACACGGGCGGGGAGGGCAGCTGTGTGGGTCCCTCAGCCCATCCCAGGGCAGGGCCGAGTCCCTCATGCAGCAGCCGACCCCACCGCAGGGGTGAGGCAGGAGGCCCTGTTCATGGGCTCCCTGAAGAAGATGAGCAGCTCCTTCAAGCGGGGTTCACTCAAGAGCTCCACATCGGGGTCGCAGAAGGTGAGTGAGCCGTGTGGGCACCTGTGGTCAGCTGGACGGAAGGACGGGAGGATGCGAGGCTTTGGCTCAAGCCGTTCCTGGAGCTCTGTACCAGCAGGCTCCCATCTTCCACCCAGCTGTGTGTGCTCACCACCGTGCGGAAGTCCTAGTATGTGTCAGTGGCTCCCACCTTGGAGGGGCCCCCAGCACGCCTGGATGGGGTGCAGTCCTGCAGGGCCTCCAGCCGGAGTCCACCCTGCTGGGATTTGCTTGAACCGCCCTGATGGAGATGATCAGGGTTTGTTCTGGCCGGATGTTAGTAGCAACGCTGTCGGAGACTTTGAGGGATGGAGGACAATGTTGGTGTGGGTCTTGTCCTCAGCCGATGGAGTCTGGTGGCGGCAAGGACACAGCCAGATGCCCCTCCCAGAAAGAATGACCCTGGGGAATCCTCATGGAGGTTCTGGGTGGGGCCCAGGCCTTGGCCACACCCTCCCAATCATGCTGATTTGAATATTGAGATGTGATTCCTCCGGATGGCTGTCTACCAGCTCTGGAGACGGTGGCCAGGGATGCAGGAGGCCTCTGGATGCCTCTTGCTGAACTCCAAGGGCTTCTCAGGACACTGCCCACGGGCACAGATGCTCTAGGCAGCACCACCATGATGGGGTCGGAGGGAGAAAACAGGGTGAGCCAGGCAGACACCGTGGGAAGCTCTGCACCTGGACTACACACAGAGGCTTGTCCCTCTGGGGCTGGCCAGGCTGCGGCCTCCGCTTCAACCACAGGCGGGCAGATGTCAGACCAGTTGTTTGCAAATCTCCGATGTCCCCTCCCCAGGACCTGAAAAGGCCATCAGGAAAAGATAACCGGCTTTCATTCCTTCCCAACGATTTAAATGTGGCTCTTCTTCCACGAATAGGGAAGACCCATCCTCAGAGGGCTGTGTGGGGTGGGGACGGGATCCTCAATCTTCTCTCCCGGCCTGTGTGAGAGTCAGCTGTATTTTTAGCACCTGCCACGCCCACCATCTGGTGTAAATTAGCATTCACCAATGGGGGAGGAAGGAGACTGGCGGGCGGAACCTATAGCCACATGGCCACATGTGTGACAGAGCCGGCCCACACAGTTCCTGCTGATGAACTGAAGAGGAGCAGGCTGGGCTGGTGGCTGGGGGAGGCAACCCCCTGCCCCTCATACAACCTGGGCACAGGGAATCACACAGTGGAAAGGGAGAAGCAGGCCAGGTGGGGACATTCTGAGCTTGCAAGCACAAGCTTTTCCCTTCCAGGGTGACCTTACCCCAGCTGCCCCATGATGAAGTCTCACACAGAGGATGGACGTGGTGCTCAGTGGTAGAACACAGGCAGAGCATGCTGGGAGTCCTGGATTTCACCTCCAACCAAAAGAGAAAGAGAGAGGGGAAGAGAGATAGGAAGGAAGGAAGGAAGGAAGGAAGGAAGGAAGGAAGGAAGGAGTGAGGAAGGAAAGGAAGGAGGGGGAGGGAAGGAAGGAAGGAAGGAAAGAAGGAGGAAGGAAGGAAGGAAGGAAGGAAGGAAGGAGGGAGGAAGGGAGGGGGGAAGGAAGGAGGGAGGGAGGGAGGTAAGGAGGGAGGGAGGGAGAGAGAGAGGGGAAAGAAAAGAAAGAAGGAAAAAAGAAAGAGAAAGAAAGAGGAAGTAGAGCTGTGGCTTGTGTGGTAGAGCGCTAGCCTTGAACATAAAGAGTTCAGGGACAGGTCCAGGCCCTGAGTTCAAGCCCCAGGATCAGTGTGTGTGAGCACCGTAAAAAGGAACTGGAAGAAGGAAGGAAAGATGAAAGGAAGGAAGGGTGAGGAGGGACGGAGGAAGGAAAGAAAGAAGGAAGGAAAGATAGAAGGAAGGGGAAGAAGAAAGGAAGGAAAGAAAGAAGGAGGGAAGGAAGGAAGACAGGGCAGAAGCCCTCATTCTCAAATTCCTATAAAAGCTCAGCACAGCTAAAGATGTTCATGGCATAGTTTTCCCTATGGCTGGTTTACAATAATCCGTAAACCAAGAAGTAGAATAAGTGAGAGAAGAATGAAAACAGTACCTATGGCTTTCAAAGAGGCTGTTTTTTAAAGAAGTTACTAGGGAGGGCTGGGAAGGTGGCTCAGTGGTAGAGTGCTTGCCTCACATGCATGAGGCCCTGGGTTCGATTCCTTAGTATCACATAAGCAGAAAAAGCCGGAAGTGGCGCTGTGGCTCTAGTGGTAGAGCGCTCGCCTTGAGCTGAAGAGCTGAGGGACAGCGCCCAGGCCCAGAGTCCAAGCCCCACAACCGACAAAGAAAAAGAAAAGAGGTACCAGGGAAAAAAAGTCCAATGGACACAAACTTGCATACTTGGCCCTCCTTAGGGCCCAGGAACTCAGTGTCAGTTCTCTGATTCCTGTCCCAAAGTCACCCCCTGTGCTGGGTGTTCCCTGACACTTGCCAGCTGCTCCGTGGGAAGAAACAAACATGAAGGACATCATGTGCAAGTCTTCGAAAGGTCACCCTTCCTGGCTGTTTGTGGAAGGCAGATTTGACCCTTTGTCCTTGGCTGACTGGTATCCTCTATCACAGAGACACTTCTCTTGCTCCTCCTCTCCTCCTCCTCCTCCTCCTCCTCCTTCTTCTTGTCAGTCAGGGTGCTTGAATTCAGTCAGGGCCTGGGCGTTGTCCTTGAGCTCTTTTACTCAAGGCTAGCGCTCTATCACTTGGAGCCATAGCCCCACTTCTGGTTTCCTAGTGATTCATTGGAGATACAGAGTCTCAATGGATTTTCCTGCCTGGGCTGGCTTTGAACCATGATCCTCAGCTCTCAGCCTCCTGAGTAGCCAAGATGACAGATGGGAGCCACCAATATCCGGCATAAAACATGATATCTTAAGAAGGTGCAAACCACAAGTCCTAGGGCTTAAAAATAAATAAACAAGTTATTACATTTAACAGACACGTATTGATTTCTTTGGTTCAGCTGGCATTGCAGCCCTTGCTAGCTTCAGTGTTCTGCTTCCTGTTGGCAGCCAGTAGTTGAGAGTTTGTAATTGCTGGGCTCGGAGCAGGCCCTGAGTGTGAGGACTCTCATTTGGTCCCTTCAAACCCCAAGCAGCAAGGACCCCTGGGAGAGGATCTTTGGAACGGGATGCTGTGAATTCTGGCCAAGGGTACCATGACAACTTTGTTCAAATAGCTTAAGCAATGAATGGGTTGGGGGAGGACTATTTCAGGCCTAAGGAATAAAAACAACAACGGTGCTGAGTTTAGATTCATCGAAGGTTCCTCTTTCATGCTGAAGAAGATGTTCAGAGATAGGGAGCCTCCCTCAAGGAGCCTCAATCCAGGCTCCATTTTTTTTTTTCCTCCAGTGCCTATCAAAGGTGCATCTTCCAGAGCCATGGTGCTGGAAGCTGCTGGAAATGGCTTCCGTGCCGAATGCTAGGAGAACCTCTGTAGCCAGGCGAGGGGGCCTGACGAATCTGTGGATGCAGAACTGCAGAACATGAGCCAAGTTACTAACCAGTCAACTGTCCCTGGGGGGGGGGGTTGGGGGGGGAGGAGGGACATGACGAGGGACCAGCAGTGTGTGTGAGCTTGAGAAACCGGCCGGCTGCCTGCCAGCTTCTCCCTTCAACTGTGCGACAACAGGTCTTGCCATGGCCAGCACACCCAGCCCCTCTCTGCGGGCTTGCTGGGGTCACCCGATTTGCTGAGTAGATCTGAGTTCAGCCAACACACCCAGCCCCTCTCTGCGGGCTTGCTGGGGTCACCCGATTTGCTGAGTAGATCTGAGTTCAGCGGCTCGTTCTCTTGTCTTCTTCACTCTTCTGTACAATCGATGCTTAGCCCCGTGGCGGGAAGGACACCTGCTGAACCCTACAACCCAAGAGGTAAAGGCCTCTCTCTAAGTGAAGGCAGGGGACCCTGGCAGGGCTCATCTGCAGAGGGTGCTGGTCAGGAAGACTGTGAAACAGGCGGTCATTTTGTTTTGTCAGCCCAAGACATGAGAGGAAAGGGACTTTAAGCTGAGGTATAAGCCTCTGACGAATTGGCACTTGCTCTAAGTGACTGAGGAATCTGTGTTTGGGATCCCTTGACAGCCTAAATCAAGTTCACCTTGGGAACACTAGCTGCAGGGCTTGCTCAGCCCCAAACCAGTGGAATCACAAGAGTCTTCTAGTGGAGTTCTGTAATGCACATTGTCAACACATGAAAGGCTCTGATAAGTCCTGCAGAAGGAAAAAAAATCCTCTTCCATTTAACCCAGCATTCCCCATAGAACCTTTGTCATGTAACCATTTCTGGCTTTCATGTCAGGAAAACAGCACCATACACTACAGGAAACAGAGCTGAGCGTTAGCTCCTGAACATGACATGGAGAGAGGACTTCATTCCTGACTCTGCATACAACCAGAGAATGAGGATCTTCCCTCCAATACCCAGGCCCTGGCTAGCAGATGCAGCCAACAGAGGCTTTTTAAGTGTTTAACTTTCGGTTAACACGGACAACAGTAGCTGCTGCTACAATATGGCACTGCTGAGAGACTGTCATCCGAGCTACTCAGGAGGCTGAGATCTGAGGATCACAGTTCAAAGCCAGCCCGGGCAGGAACATCTATGAGACTCTTATCTCCAATGAACCACCAGAAAAAGCTGGAAGTGGAGCTGTGGCTTAAAGTGGTAGAGCACTAGCCTTGAGCCAAAGAAGCTCAGGGACAGCACTCAGGCCCTGAGTTCAAGCCCCAGGACTGGCACCAAAAGAAACAAACCAAAAGCAGCCAAAGGAGACATGTACACACCTGCATCCTCATCTGAGCTGTCATACTATTTTCTTGGGGACAGAGATAAAGGTGACTCCTTAAAGTCCCATGGCTGACAGGGACTTCAGAAAGTCACCCTCTTTTGCCCATTTGTTCCTTTCCCAATCCAGCCCAGGGCAGCCACGTGTCCCTGGAAGTAGCCATTACGTCTCAGGTTGCTAGTGATCCATCTGGAAGTTTCCCCATCCTCCTCTGGCCCCTGCAG